ATAGTAGTAGTAGTAGTAGTAGTAGTAGTAGTAGTAGTAGTAGTAGTAGTAGTAGTAGTAGTAGTAGTAGTAGTAGTAGTAGTAGTAGTAGTATACCTTAAAGTATCTAAAGATGCAACTGCTGTTTAGTAAGCCATCGATAACTTCTGTACGGAGTGTGGGTCTCTTCCATGTCCATTATCTATATCTAAGTCCACACCCTCATCATCCCGCAGTTGTGAGTGCCACTTTGGCCGATAGCTTATCTGTATGTCAACAACTACCGTATATTATAGAGATAATTACCACTTTGCTCCACTTTCTAGGCTTAACCTTGTCAAAGACCTGTACAACAATCCATGCCCTACATAGCTTCCCAAAACAAATACATGTGACTTCATTAGAAAAATAATACAGTTTCATTGTTATTCAAGTTTCCTCGAGAAAAACAGTTTTCTAACTAAAAACGGTTGATTTGACTGAGACAACAAATACACAATGCAGTGAGATAGCATAGATGATAATATTGTTCTGCACAGCAATCTAAGAAGGTCTCCAACTTTGCCTTATATCCTCACCTATACAGACTTTCCTTCAAAATAGGAAAATAACTTTCGTAAGACACATGTTTGCATACCCGACTCGTAATCTCGAAATCCCGGGCCTTATTCTGGCATACCTTGTGGGATTTTGGGGGGAGTTTATGGGTCTTTTACAGTAGTTCGAGCCCATAACAGACTGGTGTTAAATTTTAAAAGACGTAGCTCTATTACATTTTAAACAACTAACACATGCTAAGAGGGAAAATAAAACCGAGACAAAACCATTTCTATGGGAAGCTATCTCTATAATATCACTTTTGTAGAAAATGCTATTGAAAAAAAAACCTCCAGTATCTTTTAAGTCTCTTATTCCTATAAGACATTCACTCTTAAAAGACATTGTTACATCTCTGTGTGGTCAAGGTAATCTTTAATGGCCTTTAGGGGGACCATGATTCACTTGCCCGAGGCTAAGGACATCACAAAATAGACAAAACAGCACCTAAACATTGATGACTCATGTTGCCTCAATGAATAAGTTACATACGTGACACATCGTGGGGAAGGCAGACGTTCGTCAAAATAATGAAACCGAATTAAACGCCATTTTTCTGCCTGTTTGGAAATTTTTATCGAATTTTACAGAAAACGTCGTATATAAATTTAAAAAACACATTTCTGTGTAGATTTTAATGAAACGCGTTGATTAAAAACACAAAGAAAAATGCAAATTTCCCTTTTCCAAAGACTCACAAACTATGAAAGTTACCAAGCCTTGGCCGCAATTTTCTTATTCAACTCTGTAACCAGGCGGATCCCACCTGTTTCAGTCACTAAAATCTCGATTTCTATTCAAGATAAATGGGTACTTATTTTCATCTAAAGTAAGACAATAAAACAAATTTCAAGATGATACCAGTAGCTCCACATGCTCAAAAACTGACGAGCGTCTGATTCCACCGCGTCGTGATACATTATATTAAGGGTTCGGCCTTCTCCCAACAACTGTCTGTTCCAGACATACCAGCACATGATACCCACAAATAACCGATATCTAAGCTATTATTTTATTGGTGACATCTTGGGAAGTAGGGAAGAGCATGGTGTTTACCTTGTAGAGATACGCTCTTTCCTGTCCGTATGGCTCTGACTCACACACTAAAGGCATTTTAATAGGGAATGGAGTAAGAAATATTTTCAATGATTGTGTTCCTTGAAAGAAACCGTCAGGGAAATGAGCCTTAATACACCAGGTTGTGCAAAACAAGGAGAACGAAATTCGGCAAAATAGTGTTTTGAAAGATCTTATAAATTCTAGACAGCCGCAAATCGTATTTTTTTAAACTACCAGGGTATGCTGAAAATAGCCTGGAGCAAGACTTTCAGCTTCTGGACCATTCCATGAAAAATGACACTGTTGTCACACACACACTAGTCGCGCGGATATGATTGCATGTTGAGAGAGAAAATCTAAGCAGTGATAGAGATAATTTTTAGGGGGTTATAGGCAACCTTTCAACCCCCTCTCACCCCCCCCCCCCCCCCCGCCCCACACACACACACACCAGAATATTTTGTTTTTTAATGACTCTACCCAAGTTAAAAACTTTTCCAGCAGGCCATCATTCCCATGTTGTGTGTGCCACTGTAGTTTCAATTTTCGTGGATTGGCCCCTCTTGCTTTGCTGTGAAGAACGTTTTAAGGTTGTCAGACACTTCAAATTTGACTGGCTGTAAAAATTGATTTGTTTTATATACATCATGCATAACATCTGATTTCCCTTTAGTGTGTGACCTCGGTTATTTAATGTTTTTTATCATATTTTTTTCGGGGGAGAGAGGGGGGTGAGATCCTGTAGAAAGCTACTCCATTATGAACAAGAGAACCATCTCCATAATGTTGGACCTTTTTATGCAAACAGTTTAACGAACCGAGTGGTTTCACATTTCATCCCTATCCAGCTCTTCATTCCTCGCTCAATCCACAGGGTTGTGACTCCTTTCAGCGAGAAGTCGCAGCGAACCCGAATGAATAAAATCATGATCTTAACGCCGCGTGGTGAACAAATTACAAAATTACAGCTTGAAGCATGTGACAGACTTGAAACATTATTCCTTTTGTTGCAACGTCAGGTTAGGCTCAGCATGTTCCGTAGTGTTTTGCAGCAATGATTGACTAGGCTGGTAGCGCTCTTGAGTAAAGGGGGGCGAGAAATTATAATAATTATGATGATGCTTGAAGAAAAACCAAGGTTGATGCCTTGTTATTATTTTGTTTATGTTCTCGAGATTATACAATATTCTTTGTTGGTGATTAAAGTTTACCTGGCGGTATTTTTTCTGCACCTTTAAGCTCTTATATCTTCCCACTAAAAGTTCTTTTTTTCTCTTTTCTAATATATTACATGTCTTCCTCACTGTGTCCCAAGCTCAAGTGTCATTCCATCTGTCTGACTGTCTGTCTATCTGTCTGTCTATCTATATGTCTGTCTATTCGCTCCACATCTCTATCTTTCTCTCTCCCTGTCTTTCTCTCTGCCTTTCTCTCTCTTTCTTTCTCTCTCTCTCTCCCTCTCTCTCTCTCTCT